TGAAGCAGGTGCCTTTCGGCTGCATCCTCGCCGCCTCGCCTCGCCTCGCTGTCCGGCCTTCCCCTCGTGTCCCGCACCTCTCCCCACCCCTCACGCCTTTCCCCGTCCCTCCCCGTCCCCTCTGTCCCTCCCGTTCGTCCCCGGAACCCGCCGAGCTGCCGGACCCATCCTCTGGGCCCTTTCCGAGCCCCAAACCCGCTCACGGGCCCCGGGGAATGTCTCTAACCTCGCTCAGACCCCCGCTGCCTCTTTCACCTTGTACTTTACACCGGGCTGGTGGGCGTCCGCTCGGGATGGGGGGAAGCGGCGTTGCTCAGAGAGCTGCCTGGGAGATGTTTTGGCTTGTTTGGTTTTGTTTTTTTTCTTCTTGTCATCTTTGAAATAAGTTGGTTTTGAGAAGGTTGATGTTTTTTCTGTTTGTAGAACTTATACACAACACAGCGTTTCTTCTTTGAATGCAGGTGATTCACCAAATGACCAAAAAAGCCCTGAAGAGGGGTCTGAGAAGAAAAAAGAGAGAAAGTCTGAAGCCTTGAACATCAGAGGTACAGCATGGGAGTATACCGCTAATATTATATTAACTTTAAACACTCTCTGATTTCCATTTCAGACTCCTCCCCCCCCCCCCAATATCAGTAAGAAATGGAGCAAAACCCCAGGACTCTTCTATGTATCTGGACACAGTTATCTTTAGCAGAAGGGTTTTGGTTGTACAGAATAGCATAGATAATAGCAAAATAGTGTGCTGCTGATTTGGCTCCGAGTGTGCTCACATTTTGATTTTAATTCTTTAGAAAGAGTGCAGCTGAACTCTTTGGAAAGGAGGCAAAGCCTATTTCACTAAGCTCAAGTCACTAGATGCCTTATAGGAAGGTAGAGCAGGTAGCTATGAGGCGCTTCTTTGAGTGTCACTGCTGTAGTAGTTGAGCAGTTTTCAACTTTCAAATACTTTTGGGCAGAAAACAAAATTTCTTTAAATCCCAAGGTTGATAATGTTTTATTGTCAGCACAAGGAAAAAGGTGCTGAAACTGGTGCTCCAGCACAGTGTTTTTCCAGGTCCTTGAACTGTGAACCTGTCCCTGAGAGAGTCTGTGATAGGCTTGGTCCTTCTTACCTTGTAATTCAGCAGCTCTCTGGGTATCTGTGGGGTGAAACTCTATAGCTGCTTCTAGGAATAAATTAACCAAGTGCCTCTCTCCCTCTCTGTATAGGTGTTTGTATGCATACAGGTTTACAGACCTATTCTGAGCAGAGCCAAAAGCAGGTATCTTTGAATATATTAAACATTGAGTTTGTCCCCAAGGAAAGGGCTGTCAGCTGAAACAGAAAGGTAGAGAATAGTAGCTTCAGGCTTCTTATGGTCATCTATCAGCATCTGATATTCCTCCAAAGTCATGTAAGTTGGCATCACGTGAATTCAGCTTAAAGAGGTCGACACGGCAGTCAGGTACCTGGTTTGGGGGGGTTTTTTGGTGTGTGCCTGTCTACCTGTCTTTCAAAAGTGTTTTCAGAGTTACACAGATGTGTCTGTAAGGGAAGACACTTTGGAAATCAAACCATGTGCTAGAGCCACAACACTTTCCTGAAAGTCTAGAAGTTGGTGTCACTGGATATTATAGCATTATAGTGGTAAGATTATTGGAGCAGGAAAAGCAAACTGTCACTTTCAGCGATGGAGGAGAGAAGAGTAAGAAACCAATGAGTATATTTTAGTGAAGGTCTTACTTGCCTGAATGACAGTGCTTAGGCATAACGATGCTGGAAACCCTCAAAAATGTCTGAAGGATAAGGAGTTTTGTGTCAGTTATTTTAAGATACCTGTCATCTTTGATTTTTAAAAAGAGAGTTTTTCTTTAAGTGCTACTTTAGTATGTCATCTTTGCAAAATCTATTTTTGTTGTCCTTACAAATATTCCTTGCTTCTGTAGCCAATACTACACATATGTGTGTTTAAAATTCCAATTCAAAATCTATGTTTTTCCTTTGAAGTTAGTTACATAGCTATACTGAACTTCATAATCACTTGGCAAAAAATTCTGTATGTTATAGAATCGAAGCCTCCCTGAAAAACATGGCTGGACAAAACAGATTGGCAGAGAAGCTGCTTCCTTGATTTTAAAAGTGGTAGGAACAGGAATCCATACATTCTGCCTGACAGGATTAATTATTGCAGTGTGTGTAAAATTATTCCTTTTACTTCTTGAGCATATGCAGAGTCGTTCAGACTTTCCAACACAAGCTGTTGGAAACTATGCGTTACCTATGGTCTTACCATACTGACTTTATCTAATAAAAATTCGTTTTCGGTTCTATCTTATAACCATAGCTTTTGGGGATCGATAGGGAAATGGGTTCATTTCTGTCACATCGTTATGTGATGCCTAACCAAGACATACATGTTAATGGTGTTAGTAATGTAAAATAAGCATTTTCCAAATTGCGTATTCTCAATTCATAATTTATCCAAATTCTGACATACTTCCTTTTTTCTTAATTCAAAAGACTTTCTGAAACATTTTCCTGTTCTTTTTAAGCTGTGCTCTCTAGTTAGTTGCCTTGGCAATTGCATCCTGCCTGTCCCTCTTGTTAGTGCAATAGCTGATAGCCTGTGCTGAATCAGGGTTAATTTGTAAATGAAAAGGAAACACTGCAACACTGTTAGGAGGAGTAAAACCCTGTGGGAGTCTGCCAAGTGGGGCAGAACACCCCTGACTCCAGCAGAAAGAGCTGGACTCACTGGAAGCTTGTACTTTCTTATCTGACCCAAGTGATTCAGAGGAACTCCGGTGGTTATTGCCTTCATTTCTCACACAGAATATCAACGTTCATGCACAGAGCTGGCAAGAAACAGGAGGACTGGCACAGCTCTAGGTCTAATCCAGTGTCAAAACTCTTCGCTGTGTTGTTAGTGAGTTTCGGAGGGAGCCTTTTACAGCTTCTCCAGCCCAGAGGAAGTGATTAAATGGGAGTGAAGCTCTTGGAAGTGCTTGTTGTAGGGATGTTAAAAGGAGATGGTCCATTTTATTCTCTCACAGGCTCTGAATGAAAAGTTTTGACAAAGAAATTAACTTCATATATTGAGAGATGTTATGAATTAGGCATGGGCTGGAATGAAATCTGAGTCTGAACGGTAAAGACTGACAAAACTGGAGTGCACCTGAGCAATGATGGGAAGAGGGAAGATTATGTAAAGCAGTAAAAACAAAGAAAAAATGAGTTCTTAGATTATTGTAACTTTATAGCAAGAAGACTACTGTGGTCATTGTAGTTGAAAGGGCAGCTAGAAATATGTTATTACAAGAGCCTGTTTTGTGTCTTTACCTTTTGTGCAAAAACATTCCTATAGATGTAAAAAGTGGTACCCAGCATTCCTCTCAATTAAGAGTAGTCCAGGCACATATTAAACCATCGAGTCCAAGTGACTGACTCTCAAACTAGATTCTGATTTTTTGGGGGGGGTCTGAGGGCTAGTACTGTTGGTGGGACAAGGTTTAATATGACTAGTAATCAAGCTTGATCCAAAAATTGGAATTTGAGGGCATTTGGAGCCATAGGTTTCACTTAGGTAATTTTTCAGATTTCAACAGTGTCATAGAAGCTGATGGAAGAGAATAACTGTTACTGGGGGTTGTCTGTGGCTCTCTTAGCTTCAACGTAGAACAGATAGATTTAGTCATCAATTTTTAATTGAGAATTCAGATTTAATGTGCCAGGATCTCTTAATAATCTGCAGGCATTTAAGCAAACACATTTTACGTTGCCATGGCATTGCAGTTGGACCGCAGTTGCTAGCATACCCTACATGTTTAATAATGCATCCCACTTAAGCAGCTGTGGTTCAGAGTCAGTATTTCCTTTGCTATTTTGTTCTGAAAGCTGTTATTGAAAACTTCGGTTATGATGTTAGTGTCTGGAATACTGTGTCAATTAGAACAGACTTGCAAAATGCAGCATTGCTCTCCCCCTCTCCGCCCAAAACCCCCCTCTAATGGAAATTGTGCCATTTGTTTCAGGTGTTCTTTTGCATGTTATGGGAGATGCACTTGGATCTGTGGTCGTGGTAGTTGCTGCTACAATCTTCCATGTACTTCCTCTGGGGAATGCTCCGTGTAACTGGCAGTGCTACATCGATCCAAGCCTGACAATAATTATGGTGTTCATCATCTTGTCTTCTGCATTCCCACTTATCAAGGAGACCTCAATTATTTTGTTGCAGATGGTTCCCAAAGGTGTTAATATGCAACTACTGAGTAAGTCAAATTTGTTGTTGAAATGCTATTAATTTTAATGATATATTTCAATGCATATGTTATTTCTGGAATGACATGTTTGGATTATTTACTCGTAATAGCTCTAAATTCTCAAGAACTGTGAGAAATAGTCACATGCCTGTGTCCTAGCAACATGACTCAAATCTCTCTGGATTAGTTAAAGCATGCATTTTGAGAATGTGGTACTCCAACAGTACATCAAAAATGCCAGGTCTTGAGCTGTTAATGCTTTGTGTGGGGTGTTTGTGAAAGAAACAACATTGAATTACAGTATTTCCCAACCCAGCAGCGGCTTCTTCCAAAAGGCTTCCAAAACAGCTTAGACATTTCCATTAAGGTTGGTTAATTTTGTAGCTCTCTGGTGTTGTTCACACTGGTTAATTGTGGAGTAGCACTGGTTATTTCTGGAATTCCACTGTGCTGAGGCCTAAAGAAACCAGAAGATGGGTGTCTTGGCCAAGGAAGAGGTGCTCTAACACTTCTGCGAACAGCTGGTAAATTGCTGTTTGGGAACCTGAGGGACAGGTGAACCCAGAAGGAAGGGTGGCCTGCTCTTGTGGTCATCTGGAGACTGAACTGAAGGCAGCTGGGAGTAGACATGTTTTACTAAGTACAGCTCTTTTAAAAAGATAGTTCAGGGGCTGCTGCTTTCAGATAGGGCTCTTAATGAGAAAGCTGGTAATTAGCCAGTACACAAAAGCCTTTAATATCTTTCTCTTATGTCTTCCAGCTGACAGACTAGCTCGTGTACCGGGGGTTAGCAGCCTTCATGAGGTGCATGTTTGGGAGCTTGCAGGTGGGAAGAATATTGCTACTCTTCATATCAAGTGCCAAACCCCTACTGATTACCAAGATGCTGCTTATAAAATTCGGAAGGTTTTCCACGAAGCAGGGATCCATTCTGTGACCATCCAGCCCGAGTACATTGACCACAAGACCTCCCAGCTACTGTGCAGCTCACCCTGCATCTCAAAAGCTTGTGACTCTCAGCTGTGCTGCAGTCAGCGGGAGCCCCCCCTGGCTAAAACTAATGGCTATACTGAGAAAAACGATAGTTGCCTTTCTGAACTGCGTAAAGACAATGGTTCAAGTAAAAACGATATTGAAATCCCTATCGAGTACCCACTGGCAGAGGATAGCGTTAAAAATGTTAAAAATTGTGACAAGTCTGATGAGAAATCCCAGTTGAGCAGTACACGACTTTAGGCAATTCCCTCTACTCTGCATAATGTCTTCATAGAACAAATGTATCCTGGCTGGGAAGGGGGTCATTGGTGGTTCTAGCTGAAGTTGGTGTGGCAAAAAGATTTCTGTGCTTTAGCTGTAAACCAAAATACACCTAAAACCCCCTTGTATCTGAAAAAAGGATTAATATTTCCACGAAGGGTGTTGCATTCACGTAAGATTTTTTTGATACAGCCTAACCTAGTTCTTACCAAACTACATGTGAATATCTGTTGTTAGAGTGGGTGGGGTGTATTGCTGTCTGCACTGATGCTTGTAGTTAATGGCCAGTGGCACTGGGAATGAAACTCTGGCCTTTTCTGCTGAAGTGAGCTGTTTCCTGAAAGTCCTGTGGCCAGTTAACAATTGTACTGGGCTAAAGTACTGTATATTTATAAAGGACTTCAGTAGAGATGCTTTACTGATCCTTAAAACCATTTTTGCCATAGACAGTTCTTGTTTAACAGTAACACTTGTGCTTCTGGCCAGTGGGGTTTGTGAATGAAATTAAGAGTGTCTAAGGGGGATGGGAAGCACTCAGGAATTTTTGCTTCCATTGTTTTCTTGATTGACTCCTGTATTTAGGGACAGAGCGGAAGCTGGTCTTGCTTCTCAATTAGTAATACTGGAGTCCTACCCTAATCACAGATAAGTATGCTAAAGAATAGACTTCTTATCATGAAAGCAAAGAAAGACTTACTAACGTTGTCTGTACTGATTCTAGCAAATGGAAGTGCAGGCAGTCATCCAATTAACTTTACCTTGTTCGCTGTTGTGATTGTGTACAACTCAGTCTTTTTTTTTTTTTTTTCTCCTGACAACAGAAGTTATAATAGCCACGGTCTTAATTCATCATTGTGCAGGATGATTGCAGTATCTTTAACACTGAATGTCTGTCATTATTCATGCTGAATAAATAAGCTAATGTGTCTATTATGAACAGTTAAAATTCTGCAATTCTATTATTAAGACATAATTTAATACAGTATTAATTAAGAAAGTCCCTTTAAAGTTTTATATGCGGTATTATCACTTAGAGGGAGCTTTAAAAAATTACAGGGAACTTTTCCTGGTTTAATCTCAATTATTTCTTGTTGGTTTGTTTTAAAGGTCTAAGCCCTCCCCTTTGCCCTCCTCCTCGTCCCCCTGCCCAAAGGTGTATCTCAAAGTGTATTTAGCGAAGCAGTTCCATTATCTTTTTGCTGCTTGCTCTTTTTGAAGGTAGGCAAGCGTGCTCTAAGGAAAACAAGATGACGTGCCCTGTCACCAGTGCTGGATTTAGGTCAGGTATGTTCTCCAGGTTTCTGGGAGAGGAGACCCACCACCTAATCCACGGGGAGTGTGGTGCTTAGCCTCACTGGCTATGCAGACCTGATCCAGAAGCTTTCAAATACATCTTGCTGTCAAAAGCAGCTTTTCAGTGGTCTGTGTGGCCTGGGCAGGCTATTTTATTCATTTATTCATAGGGACACCTTTATAAAATAGTGGTGTCTTTACCTCAGTGACACCTTAACAGAAAGGGCAAACTGATTTCCTGCCTGGGCTGGGAAAATACCAGGACCTCCTTGTAAAGCTGGCTTGAAAGCAGCCAACTCCTTATTAATAAGGATGATTACATTAAGTCAATGAATATTAAAACACACAGCAGGATATTTTGCTGCTTGGAAAATGGTATTTACTGAAGCAGTGATTGCAGTCTAAATAGCACGTTTCTAGATTGTACTTACGCCTTTTGAACAGATTCTTGGCTGAACTAATATATTTTATAGCCTTCCATTGTAGGTTTGTATTATATAAATTAAACTATGTGTTAGTATAATTAAAAGCTTGATCCTGCACTCTGTGTGATTCTGTTGGCAACAGCAGAGGTGAAAGCAGCAGGATCTTGCTTGGCAGTTATTGCACGCATTAATGTAAATCAGGAAACATTTTAAGAATTGCTCTATCTTTTAAAAGCGTGTAGCATGAAATAAGACAGCCCTTTCCTCTGTTCTTTTTGTCCTTATTTTCATCTGTGATGATGTCTAAATGTCGAGGTTTAGATGTAAACAACAAATATATTTATAGTTTTTCTGAGAACTGGAATAGAAGGCTCCCAAAATAATAACAAAGTCTATGGGAGAACTTGCTTCCCAGATATCCTCTAAAACAAGCACCCTTTTATAATTATGCATTTGTGTCTTAAATCAGGTAATTTTTTTATATATACATTTTATTAAATAGTTGAAAGATGGAATGGCAGTATTGTTTACTCTGGAATTAGACAAAACTAGTATGTGTAATGTTGGGGCATTTGACAAAATATACCATCTTTTTCTTTATCCTTCCAGTGTTTGTTAAAACTGTGCTTATCAATGTTTTTTAAGTTTTTAAAAGTGTTGTAACCTGAAAATACAATGAAGTAACATCCTGAAACTTTTTTTTGAGTGTACTGTAATTGTTGCCTATGAATAAATAGGAAAATACCAGGGATTATAGAAATCTTCAGGTCTAGAAAAAAAGCAGATTTTAAATTTGCTTTGTTACTTAAGCAAGCAAACCCAACAGAGCCATGTTATTGATAAGAACCTTGCTTTTTCTGTGTAGGGACCTTCAGGGTATTCAGCTAAGGTTTCTGACTTGGTATCCTTGCCTTCCTTTGAGTCTCGCAACAAAATATTTTTCTTCTCTGTTTTAAGTGTGTCACAGCTAGGCTGTACTCTGTGGCCCCTCTCTACTTCTGTAGAAGACTTCATGCTAATCAGTGTGTATTTTGTATTGGCTTATTCCCCTTCAGTTCTTGGCATATCACTTCTAAGTCTCTTGAAGTAGGCTTACCTCATTTTGAAATACAGTATATTTCAGTATTTGCCCTTATCTATGGGCACTTGTTCTAAATTCAGTTTCGTAGTGTATGGTACTGTCATCAAATCTCTTTTCTGTAATCCCTTATGATTGCATCATTATGGTATTCGGGTTCTTTTGCAGTGGTTGCCCCTATCTGTCCATCACTGTCTGTAGCAATGGAAATCTGCTTAAAATACAGGTGACTTTCAACTGGTTGTCCAACTTATGTGGCCCTCTGATCCATAACCAGTCATACGTGTGACCTAGCTGTATGTCAATGAAACATTTGCTAGCCTTGCCAGACAGTTTTGGAGTAAAATTCAAACCTGGAATAAATTAACATGGCATTGAATGCAAAAGCAATTTACTGGCCTTCATCAGTCATGGGCCTTTTCTTAAAGTGAATAAATTTTCTGTCACCTTTTGGTATGTGCCAAATATGCCAATTTGATTGTTAATTTTTCCTTCTTCTGTAACTGCCTAAACTGCCTTTGCTCTTCTATGTAAAGAAAAATAACCGATGCTGTTTTTAGGAGTATTGCCTTTGTTTTACCAAGTTTTCAGCTGACTTCCTTTTCCTTGCGTCCTTCATGATACTTATTTTGACTTGTGGTGCAACCGTGGGTTTTTTCCTCTTAATGTTTTTCCTATTCTTTGTCTCTTCAATAAAAGCAGTATGGTTTTGCTAGCCTTCTGATCATGGTGATGTACCTATAATACCATTTAGAAATACCTCTTTTATGCACTGGTTTAATTTTTGCACTCCATTTTATTCAAATTCACCTGCTTTCTGTTTTTGCTGTGTGATATACGTTACCATTGCAAACCACCTTTTGACCTTGTTTAGTTCTTCCTATACCATCCCCCTCCCCTGTCTGATTATAACACTTACTGTCCTGAATGCTCCCTTTTATTCTGAACTTTGAAGGGAATGTGCCAGCATCCAAATTTTCCCCAAAGTGAAGTTCACCACCCAAGGTCTATGGATGGCTTGACGTGAGCTACTCCAAGGACTATTTTATGTCCTGTGGTCTGTGTAGAAGTGGTGTCTAAGTAGTCATCCTGAGATATAAATATTTATATATGCTTAAATTCTTCACAAACACTCCACTTGAACCAACTTTTTAGAGAAGGTTGGTTTCTAAACCTGAGCAGGTATAATGGAATCAGTAGGGTTCATTAGTCATTCATTAACACCTTAGGGGAAAGCTTGGATGACTAACTGGAAAGCAGGTAAAAGGGACTTTTCTGAAAAGATAATTCAAAAGCTGTGAAGATTTCTGTAGGTTCCACTACTTATTGTGCTGTACAGTGGAAGCACTTTCTATGTTAAATACTTTATTTGAACAGTGATACCTCGGTATGTCACTGTGTAAATTTGTTACATTTATGGAGTTGTGTTGCTTAAAAGTTTCCTCCAGTTTTTCTGTTCATTATGTGACTTAAATAATGTGCCAAAATGTAATTTCCATGATTGCTGAATCAATGAATTGTAAATTTCACTGTGGTTTTATTAACTATTAGTGAAAAATTACTTAAAGTTATGTACAGTTATATTTTTTTTCAAAATGAAGTTTGAATGCTTTGTAAATAAAGTGTATTTTTAAATAAACCTGTTGTTCTGAGCTTGATATATGTTAGCAATAGAGAGCTTGTGTCAACGTGGAAAATTTTAAGACCTTTGTAGGAGTAAAGTTTGTTCTTAACCTGTGAGCTTGTTAACGCTGCAAATTTTGTTACATATTTGGACGAAAAGGGGAATGCCACTCAAAGATTTTCCTCTGCAAGCAGCCTAGAGTTTCCAAATCTGGGAATGAATTTATTGCTCGTAACTCCAGGGTACCAGGCAAGGATCTTGGCTGCAAGAGCTGGATGGGCTCTTCCCAGAGCGCAGCTGCCGTGTCGCCGCCTGGCTCTGCTGGTGATGCCTGCTCGTTCCACGTTCAGCTGCAGCTTCTGCTCAGCAGCTCTCCTGCTCGCTCTGTCTTCAGATTCGCACCTCTGCGGGAGCGAGGATGTTGCCACATGCAGAAAGCTGACTGTAGGTGTGACATCAGGCTCGGGAGAGCTTCGAGATACTCTGTCCTCGTTTCAGCCGGGATAGAGTTTCTTTTCTTCTTAGTAGCTCGTACAATGCTGTGTTTTGGATTTAGGATGAGAATAATGTTGATAATGCACTGACGTTTTAGTTGTTGATGAGCAGTGCTCACCCAGAGCCAAGGGCTTTTCTGCTTCTCAGCCCACCCCACCAGCGAGGAGGCTGGGGGGCACGAGGAGTTGGGAAGGGACACAGCCGGGACAGCCGACCCCAACTGACCCGAGGAATATTCCAGACCATACGACGTCATGCTCAGCGTATAAACTAGGGGGAAAGCTGCTGGGGGGCTGCTGCTCAGGAGCAGGCTGGGCATCTCTTTTTGTTATTTTCCTTTTAATTACAATTATTATAATTATAATATTTCAATTATTAAACTGTTCTTACCTCAACCCACTAGTTTTCTTACTTTTACCCTTCCGATTCTCTCCCCCGTCCCACTGGTGGGGGAGCAAGTGGGCAGCTCTGTGGGGCTTAGTTGCTGGCTGGGGTTGAACTACGACGCTCTCACTTCTGGGTTTAATGACCTGAATGTGCATGTTAGAAATGAGATGAGGCCTAACACTAAATTTAGGTGCTGTTTTTAGATCAGCAGTCATGGAGGTGACCTCATATGTTCCTCTCTCCTTAACATCAATATCAAGTCATCTGCCACCTGGGTCCTACCCCACTGTGTCTGATTTTCCAGTTGTCCATGTACCTACATGTTTTTGTTAGTAATGATCAGTAAGGAGTCAATAGTAGTTGTGTGTCATGGTTTGGGATTTGGGAGACAGAAATGAAAACTCTATAAAGCAATTCCTGACAAATAAAATTAGAATAATACATATGCTCAAGAGGAAAAAAAAAAAGAATTAAGAATAGAAAATAAATGTTGAGGGTTT